ATCTCAAAGTACAGGTTGGTTGCCCTTTCTCTGAGCTCCCAAAGCCTCTAACTGTCTGTTTCACTTTTCTTAAGTTTACTTTTATTTTATTTGCGTTGGTGTTTTGCCTGCATGTGTGTGAGGGTGTTGGATCCCTGGAACTGGAGTTACAGATAGTTGTAAACTGCCACGTGGGTGCTGGGAATTGAGCCCGGATCCACCGAGAGAGCAGGCAGTGCTCTTAACCCCTGAGCCATCTCTCCAGCCCCCTGTTATACTTTTTAAAGAAAGGAATTGCTTTTTCTGGCTCACTGCTCTAATCCAAAGGTTGGTACACAGCAAGAGATCAATAAGTGCTTACAAAATGATGTAGCTGAGGCTCAGCTCAGTTCAGTCTAGTGACATAAAAAAGGTCACATGGTTCATTGGTAGCTGAGCTCGTACTTCTACCTTTCCTGTCCTCTGAGCCCTACCTCACTTAGTCCATCCTATTTTGCTGAGCAGTAGGTAGAAACCAGGTTGCTTTTGTCTAATGCACTGTAAAACCCTTCTTTCTGCTCTTCTTAGCAACATCTCTTCACATAGGTTCTAACTCTTAGATATCATGTACACAGAGAGAGAGAGAGAGAGAGAGTGAGGGGGGAGAGAGAGAGATCCTCTGACCAAATAAATAAATGTCTCTCTATTATCACAAAATGGATGCCAAACCTCTCAGCTGGTCAGTGAAAGTATTTTGTGCTTCCCTTCTTTCTACCTGTCTGGATCTGACTTCCAGCAATGTTTGTCTGTCTGTCTGTTTTGAGAAAGTGTTCCACTTAGCTCCAATTGGCGCAACACTCCATAGGGAACAGAGTCTGTCCTAAAACTCCTGATTCTCCTGCCTCCACCTCCCATGTGCTGATGTCATAGGTATGTCCACTAAATGGGGTCTGTCTTCATATGCTATAATCCTTAGGCACAGCCATCTCTCTTATCTCTATCTTTTTATCCATAAACCTTCATTCTTCCCTCAGGAGCCAGCCCAGAAAAATCTCCTTAATAAAATATTCTTCAAACTTGCCCTTGGACTCAACTCCCAGCATTTCCACAGCAAAATATCAGTTCTGCCTCGTAGCTCCTATTGCCTATCTGACCCTAATCTCTAGGCAGAAAGGCCTCTCCCCTCTAGAGACATCAGTGTACATTCCAGCTCAAGGCCGTAGTATGACCCTGACTTTTGTGTCCCTGCTCCATAACAGGGTTTTCACTGTACAAGAGCCTTGCAGAAGTTTGTGGGGGACCAACAGACAGGCCACCAAAGCAAGGTACCAAAAGAACAGTCAAGCCCTCACATGCTCTGCTTCTATGATTTCTAGGATGTGGGAGATGACAATTCTGTGTGGCCTTTTTCTCCATCACAACTCAGAAAATCCAGCAGCAGGCTCCCAGGCCTCACAGAACTGGCCCCAAACACAGCCAAAAACTCTACTGGAAAACATCCCAGTAAGCTTCTCTCCAAGTACCTTGACAGCCCAGACTTCCAGCCACAGGAGACTCAGGAAGTGCCAAGAATGGCTTCTTTAGCCACAGGGCCCCCGGATTTGCCTGAAACCATCCTTGAATTATTTTGTGAACTGAACTGCTCTGAAGAAATGTCATCTGTGTTAAAGATCTTTGAGACTGATTAGAATATCACAATGTAGAGAGGCGGAATGCTGCCAAATCATGATCCCATGTTATCTTCAGTTCCCATAGTAGCGGTTTAAATCTCTGTACCTGACCTACCATCTCTGTGGTGACGCTCTTGAAACATATTATTGAGCTTAGCTGACCGCTAGGGTCCCATCGATCCAAAAACTAAGAATTTTATAACGGGCAACAGTTATTTCCCTGCTCTGCTGTAAAACACCTACCTGAAATACCTTCCCATGTAAATATATCGATTTATAACTTTCATTTCTAACTTTCTTTTATGTGTGACTTTATCTTCAGGTAACCTCTTCCATGGTGGAATGCATCATTAGAAGCACCCTGGACCTCTGTCCGTGGTCACTCATGTTTGTCTCAGAATAAACTCTCTCTCGTTCCCATCAGAACAAAAACTGACTAGGTGGATAGGCCAGATGAGGGAAGAGATAGATTTCAATGAGAGGCTCTATCTCACTTTTCCATACAAGCCTCTCCCCACAGACCAACACCGACATAATCTGGATGAGGAAATGAAACTCTTCTGGAGTCTGACACTTTTTAGCTTTCAACTTTCCGAGCTGAAGAATTACCTACTGTGTTCTTTAACACACATGTACCCAGTGGGCACAGTGGCTCCTGTTTGTAATCCCAGTAAAACAGAAGGAGTGCAGCAAGTTCAACTAAAGCCTGGGCTACATATTGTGTTTCAGCATAGCTTGTCAAATAAATACATTGTAGATATCTCCTCAAATAAATAAAAAATAAAACGCAGATGTCTGGGACCTGAACTTTGAGAATATAACTGAGTAGATTTGGAGGTTGTTTAGAAGTCTGCACTGAAAACAAAAAAATTGGAAGGCAGCCCAGTATGTAGCTCAGAAGCTTGCGGAAATAGCCCACCACTGAACATAGCCCTGGCTTTAACTCCTAGCACTGCATGAGACTAGGCATGATGGCAGTCAGGACATGGAGGAAGAAGGATAAGAAGTTCAAGGCCTGGGGCAGGGAGGTGGCTCAGTGGTTAAGAGCACTGGCTGCTGTTCCAGGGCATCTTGGGCTCAATTCCCAGCACCCATATTGCAGCTCATAGCTGTCTGTAACTTCAATCCCAGGAGATGTGACATCCTCACATAGACATACATGCAGGCAAAACCACCAAGGCACATGAAACAAAAATAAATATAGAAAGAAAGAAAGAAAGAAAGAAAGAAAGAAAGAAAGAAAGAAAGAAAGAAAGAGAAAGAAAGAAAGAAGGAAAGGAAAGGAAAGGAAAGGAAAGGAAAGGAAAGGAAAGGAAAGGAATGCCCAGTGTGCCGCACATGCCTTGCAGTATGAGTTCCAGCCCAGGAGACTAAGAGATTCTCCAGACACATAATAGCTGCTCAACAAATATATGGCCACCACTGAGCATTAGTGTCCTGGCAGGAAATGGAACAAACCGCTGTAGGAGGTGTGTGGTGGTTGGGATTAGAAATGCCCTCCCCTCCCCCACCATGGGTGCATAGATTTGAACAGGGTGTGCTTTGGGGAAATTATGAAATCTTTGAGAGGAAGAGCCTTGCTGGAGAACATTCATCTCTTGGGTCAGGCTTTGGGGTTTTGTAGCCTCGTCTTTGCTTCCTGTGTGTGGTTAAGACGTGATCTCGCCGCATCCTGCTTCTGCTGCCACGCTTTACCCACTGTCATGGACATTCAGCCCTCCGGGACCATAAACCAAAGTAAACTCTTTCTTATGGGCTGCTCTTGGCCATAGCATTTCCTCACAACAGAAAAATAACCCATACAAGACAGTGAATCCTCACCACCGTAGCCCTTCATTCACAGGAAGACTAAACCATCCTGTGGGGAGGGGTGTGGAACTTGAGGAATGCCCATAATCCCTTCCAACATAAAAATGATAGAGTAACGACTCTGGATTGGAGTTGGGGGAATCTTGGACCCCCCTGCTAAGGCCTGGTGAACTGGCCAGCTGATGTCAATTTGGTTTGCAGCAGCCATATTTCAGGAGACAAACGAAAGAGATTACGAAGCAGCAATGGGCAGAGGGAAGGGGTCACTTGGGTTCTTCAATCTTCCAATCCTGAGTTAGTTTTTGTGGCTTTCCTGGGACTTCCTGGGGCTAACTGGATTCTCCCTGCTTTCCTGCAGTCCCAGGAAAAGTCCCAGGGCTATCTGGATTCAGTGAGCACAAAGAGCCTAAACCGCCTGGAGGTGAGGCAAAACGATGTAGCTGAGGCACGTGGGACCTCTATCCTGTCACAGACAGATCTCTGAATATCTTGGGTGTGCCCTCTCAGGGGGATGGGAGCCATCTAGCTGATTGTGCTCCATGTGTACCCTGTGCACCCGGCTCCAGATAAGCAGATGGGTAATGATGACTTTTCCTAGCAGTCAGGAGATGGACGAAGAAGGAGGAGGTGTTCAAGGTCTGGGGAGGGAGGTGGCTCAGTGGTTAAGAGCACTGGCTGCTGTTCTAGAGGACCTGGGTTCAACTCCCAGCACCCACACTGCGGCTCACAGCTGTCTGTAACTGCAGCTTCACCTCATGGGCTACCGAGACAGTGAACAGAGCAGACTTCTTGCCTGGGTCTGTTAAGAGCAATGAATGTACCAGCTATGCAGAAGGCCAGCATGGACATATCTGCAAGATAAGCCTGGAGCTCATGCATGCCTTGAGCCCCAAGGAATTCAGAGCTGTTAGGAAAATAGCCTGGCTTTCTACAGCCTACTACTAAAGTACAAATACTTCCAGACTGTCCTCACAGTCATCAAAGGTCAGAGATTCCATGGGTAGGCCCATGCCAGCTCTTCCTCATCCCCTCCCTCACTTCAGAGAATGAGCCTCTGGGGTCTGAATCTCCTGGGTTAGCATGTCCAAGAGTGGGGTGGAGACAGGAGTCCAAGAAGGCAATGTTCAGCACGCTGCTGTGGAGCTATGCGATTTTGAGCAAGCCTGTGTCTCTCTTTGAACCTCGGATTTCTCCCTCTCTAAATGAGTGAGAAACTGGGCTGCTGTTTTCTCACCTTGACTATAAATCAGAATCATCTGGGTGGTGGCAAGACGCAGGAACCAGAGAGCACAAAGATTCTGAGGCCTCATCCCAAAGCTGAGGAACCTGAACCTCCGAGGAGGGGAGAGGAAGGGAGCCTGTGGGGTCTTAAATCCCAACCTCAGCTCCAGCCAGGGAGCCTCTGGAGCTCCTGTGCATGCCTCAGGGCCCTCCACCAGGGAGATCCTTAGGATTCATTTCTCCAAGCCATACCCCATCTCCTCCCAACTTCTCAGCCTCCTTCGGCCAGAGCTGGAGTAAGCTTGCATCACCCTTTTCTCCAAAGAGCTCTGGAGCCTGAAGCACTGGTCAGCGAGCCATTTATTACCCATCAACCTGTCCAGCATCACGGCCTGCACAGCCGGGACATCATCTTCATCCCAGTCAGTTCTGGCATCCAGCCTCCGCCTCCACCCTCATCCTCTATCCTCTGCACTTCACTCCCTTTCAAGGCAGCACCAGGCCCGGGAAGGGGGCAGTGGGAGGGGCACACCTTAGCTGGGAGAGGGAGGGGAGACTGGAAGATAGAAGCTGGCTCCAAGCTTCTGGAGCCAGCACCCCTGTTAAGGGGGCAAGGAGGCAGGGCTTCTGGAGCCACTCCACGTGGCTCAGGCAGGAGGCTCTTCACCAGGACGAGCAGGGAAGCCACTCAGGTCTCGGCCAATGATCTCACTCACTGTAAAGGAGGGGCAGTTGACAGAAAGCACTAAGGCCGGTCTTTCCCTTTTCCAGAGACCGACCCCCTTCAATTCCAGGCAGGCCTCCAAGCAGGGCACATCTGGATTCCTCTTTTGCTGTGCCTCAGTCTCTCCAATGTCTCATAACAACCGTTCCTCACTAAAGTTTGCCCAGTCCCAGTTATGAGGATCCCCAGTCCTGCATCCTTTGCCTGCTCCTCCTGACAGCTTGGCCTACATCTGTGGCAGCAGGTTGGGTGTAGGTGTCATCGGTTGGAAAAAGAAGAGACAGAACAGGAATGTCTTCTTCACCAAGGTGGACTGTAGTCACCAGGGAAAGCTGAGGTGAGGGGAAAACACTCAGCCTGGCTTCCCACAAGCCACCGTTCCTCACCCACTGAAACTCAGTGCCTGCATCTACAATCCAGGCAACTGGATGAAATGAATGGTCTTAAAATACTTCTAGGGTTGACATTTTGTGATTAGGGCAGAGGCAGAGGAAAGGCCGGAACAGATACTCTGTGTGCCCCTCATAATTAAGTTGCTGGATTCAGGTGGCCACACACACACACACACCAAGGACTTGCTCCCAAGGCCTCTGACTAGCCCTGGGAGACTAAGGGTGCCAAGCCTCCAGCCTCCAGCCTCCAGCCTCCAGCAAACACGCAAACCGATCCCTTGCACTCACTCACACTCACAGCCCCCAGTCCCGCACCCACCTTCCTCCAGGGTGACACCCTGGACAGGTACATTGTCTCTGAAGCCGCTGCTGTAGCCACCCCTGGATTTCTCCTGCTCCGAAGCCCCCTCCCCAAGGGGATAGCCTGGCCCCACCTCATCGTAGCCCTCAGCAGGTAGGGGTTGGATAGCACTCTGGGGATGGAAGGACTCTTCAAGTGGTGGGGAGGAAGGGAGTGGAGGCCTAAAGGGGGCCGGAGGGGAGAAGGGAAGCCCCAGGGCAAAAGAGGAGCCCTGTCCTCCATACGGGTCACCAGAAAAGGGGCGGGGAAGGAAGGAGATAGATGGTGGGCGCACACCTGTGCTACCCCCGGCCTCGGGGAACATCCGCAGGCCTGATCTATAGGATGGTGGGGGCCCTGTCTGGGGGTACAGAGTGGGTGTGCTATAACCAAAGCTTTCTGACAGGTAAGGAGTCCCATAAGCAGGGTCTTCATGGGGATAGGAGGGGCAAGGGGGTCTGGGAGGTGAGAAGTCCATGTCAGTGCCAAAGGGGGGGCCCGACGCTGAAGGGAAGGCCCGGAGAGAGGAGTCTGGTAGGGGCTCCTCCTTGAAGATCACTGGGAAGATGAGGAAGCAGGAGGCTGTTGAGGTGCCGGCAATCCACACACACACACACTTCCAGCCTCCTTCCCTTCCAAGGCTTCATCCGCCCCTGAGCCCCTCACATCCAAGACCCACACCCTCTGTCCCCGACCATAGGAAGCCTTAGCTCGCACCAGGCAGAAACTTGAAGCTTTGGGTAGGACTGCGTTTCCTCCGCCCATTGGAGACGTAGAAGTAGACCTGGACGGGCCGAGACACCCGCTTGTTGCTGTACTCAGGGATGGTCAGAGTCAGTGTCACCTAGTGAGAACAGGGAGCCAGACAGAAGATCTCACATTGCCTCAACCCTTACCTCCTAGTTCCACAGCTGCGGAGCAAAGTCCATTCTCTCCCGGCTCCAGCCAGGCCAGAAAAAGTGACTCTGGAGTCCAAGCCCATGGGTAAAGGGGCCCTCTTGAGAACTTCCTATCTTCTTCCACCCTTCCCCCACAACCAGATCGGGCAGTCCAGGGCCATGGTACCTCACTGCTCTGCAGCCTGTTCACGGCAGCCTCCTCCTCCCACTGCAGCTTTCCATCTGTGCAGGAGAAACAGAGGTCCAGACCAGCTCTAGGGCTCACCCCGCCCCCAACCCAGTCCTCTGTCCTTTCTCCTCCGGCTGGAGTCAACCTCAGGTCTGGCACAGGTGTTTCCCAATGAAAGTGGTTGGGCAAAAGACAAACTGAGGCCAAAGGAAAAGGCTGGGACCTACAGGGAGTTAGTGATACCGCCTTGGGGCACTCCTGCCTACTACCCAGACATTCCCTCCCACGATGCCAGCAAGACAAACGGTAGGGTAGGAACGGGCCCCTCCTGAAGGGAGGCATAAGACCAAGTCTAATAACGTGGAGCCTCTGGAGTTGCTCCGAACTAACTCCAGGGTACTCAATGTGTGGGTCTTGGGGATGGACCATCAGTGAGCAAGGAGGAATGAAGAGGAACCCCACAGTTTGGTGGCCGGACCCAAAATCCCAAGTCTCTCATTCTCCACCACTGTAACTTTACTTTAGCTCTCATATTCACAGCTATGCTTTTATCTCAGGACAGGCCCAGGACAGTCTATGACAGTGTGAGTCCCCTCTTCACATATTTCATATTCAGGATGGTAAACCATCTCGAAGCCTGTTTCTCTTTAATAAGCAGGGTGTGCATTTCTTTAAAAAAAAAAAAGATTTGTCTTTATTTTTCATTTTCTGTGCATTGGTGTTTTGCATGTATGTCTGTGTGAGTGTGTGTGTCAGATCCCGGAGAACTGAAGTTACAGACAGTTGTGAGCTGCCACGTGGGTCCTTGGGAAGAGTGGCCAGTGCTCTGAACCATGGAGACACCTCTCCAGGCCCACGGATGTACTCCTTGCCTTTGCTCACTATCCTTGGAGTTCTGTAGTCACAACTGTCGCCCCTGAGAGACTGACTGTGCACAATGAGGGGGGAGATAAAGAAACTGAGGCTTAACCTGGCAGTTTGGTGACAGTGTCAGAGTTCCGCCTGCTGGGTCCTAGCTCTTCTCCCCTACCCTCTTCTCCCCAGTGGGTACTCACCAGGGCCCCTCTCAATGAACACCACCTTGGAGTCTGGCAGGAAGTTGGAACCAGTCAACACGAGCTCCTCCCCTCCCCTCACAGAGCAGGCACTGGGGCTGTAGGCCTCCACCTGGGGCAGCTCCTGGGCTGAGCGCTGGGCTGCAGAACAGCGCAAGAAAGAATCCTGGCTGGGTGGGCTGCAGAAGAGGCAGCCCTCCCAGCCACTGGCAGCACTAGGGGAGCCCTCTTTTTAGTGGGAAATAACAAAAGATAACCAAGAGCGGCATGAAATCAAGCAGGCTGTGTAAGGGCTTCTGAAGCAGAGACAGAGCAGACAGGTAGGAGCTGCAAGACACAGAGAACTGGCCAGGGCCTGCTTGCTCACAGCACTCGATGGGCACTGACGCCGCCTGCACAGAGACGACCTTCCCGCCGCCCTGAGGCACGTGAACACGGAACACCAGCCGCACACGCGTGTTCTTGCGCCCGATGTCTGTCTCACCCTTCCGTAGCTCAATGTCTGAGTTCCGAAGCTTCAGGATTCCAGCGCAGTCAATGCTGAAGGCAAAGGAGAGATGGTAAGCCCTTCTAGCCGTACCTGGGGCAGAGATGCATATCCCAGAGGGGAAGAACCCCCAACCCCGCCCCGAATCCAAGGCCATGAGTGTGTAAGGGTGTTTACAGGGACTGTTTTCTAATCTAGAGATGGCCTCTCCAAGAGCTCCCCAATCTCAACAATGCTTTCTTAAACATTAAGGCCAGAAACTAGCTGGGGATGTAGCTTAGCGGCAGACCACTTGCCTAGCATATGCAAAGCCGTAGGTTCAAATCCCAGGATTTTAGGAAGGAGGAAGGTGTTGAGTTGAGGGTACAGAACACTTGCCTAAAAGGCTGGACAGTGACTGGTTGTGATAATGACTAGCTCTTGTGGGGAAAAAGAAATGGGCCTCTCTGGTCCTAAGTCCTACAGGCTGAGGGGAAGTTGCCTGGGGACTTACTTGGCAGCCATGTTGTTCTCTGGGAGCAAGGTCATCTCCAGCACTTTGGTCCCGCTGACTACAGCTTCGTAGCTAGCCGTAGCCACCATCTTGCCGGTGATGCGGTGCACCTGGTAGAAGGCGTGCGGCCGCAGGCTCCTTTCATCTGCAGTGCCAATGAACATCTGGAGGGTCAGCGGCTTCTCACTGTAGCCTAGAAGCTGACACAGGGAGACAGAGGCCACCTATGTGAAAGCCCCAGTGTCTTTTAACCTCTATCCATCCTTGGATTTTCAGTCCAAGGATGGGAATGGCAAAAGATAAAGAACAGCCCATAAGGGATTCCCTGTGGGAAACTGGGTATCAGTTGTAGAGAAAATGTGGCCTCAAGTTCACAGTGTTATTCTTGGACGGCCTGAACTGGGCTGGGCAAAGGAGGAAGAGCTTCCAAGAAAGACTAGCCCAACTCAATATAGAGAAAACCTAACTCCCAGTGACCTTTGGCCTTGGCTGAAACCCTCCCCCACATCTGGCACGTCATCATTTTCCAAAGTAGACTTGAGGCTGATGTCCCATGGGAGAAGTTGCGGGGGGGGGGGGGGTTAGGAGAACAAGCGGGGAAGGGGGGCTAGGAGAAGAGAAAAGAAGAGCAGAAAGTATATCCGGGTCTCTGCTATGTACCCTTCCTCCCACAGTTCCTGTCCCTCCCCTAGGCTGCCTGCAGGGTCACAGCTGAGAAGGAGTGTGGGAAAGGGCAGTGCCATGATTCTGTGCACAGCTGCAGCCCGTTTACAGGGATCTGGGACGGATGGAGAGGAAGAAACTCGGCCGGCCTTCCGCCCCTTACCTTGACCACAGGGTGGCCTCCCGGAGCAGCCTTGACAGCTCCTCGGCTGCCCTCAGTCTCGTAGTGGGCCCGGTGGTGAGCTCTGGGCTGTACCTCAATCCTCAGCTCCAGCTGCTCATACTGGCTAGGCAGAGGCCAGTCCAGCGGAGGTAGGGCAGAGGTCCTGCAGAGGACAGGAGAACACGGCTGTCTGGTACTTCAGACCCATCAGGATCATGCAGGGTTTGTGAGGAAGGAGGGCAGAGTGGATATGGGAGAGGTAAGAAACCACAGCAAAAGTAAACCCCAAAAGCTCAGAAGCAGGGGGATTGACAGGGAACAGTCCTTCGTTTGAAGAGGAGGGTGTGGAAGATGACGATGGTCCCCCGAGACTACCTTCTCCTCCCAAGTTCTGGACACAGGGTTTGGAGGCTTTACCAAGAAACAGAGGAATCCAAAGGCCATGCTGGTCCTCCCGCCTGGGAGGAGGGGGGCCCAGGTTCAGCACAGAAATGCCACTTTAGACAGAAAAGGCATCAGACAAAGAGACTAAGGACAGAAACCTAGAGTAAAACCTAGGGCTGACTACTCTGCGACCAGGCTAACTTCTTCCCGCTAGTTGGGGTTGAGCAGGTAGAGCTGCGAGGGCCAAGGGCCACTTTTCTGGAGTTGTGCTTACAGGTACCCCGCTGGTAAATCTCAGCTGCCCAATTGCCTGTGCACACCCACCTGCCCCCGCTGATATCTGGCAACGTCTTTTAATTGCTATAACTAATGCAAAAAGGGGCGTTACTGTCTAGAGAATAAAGGCCTGGGAGGATGCTCAACCGTTAGACAGCGTCCAATACAGCCCTGCACGAGTTCCCCACCTCAAAACAGTAGTCTGCTGAGGTTGAGAAATGTTGGTCTGTGGGAATCCCAGAGGATCCCGCTTCCCTCTAGAAACTTTTCAGGATGGAGACAACCCAGGCTGACATCCCGAGGCTTGGGACTATTGAAATGGGCAGATTTTTTTTTCCTTGAGAGTAGAAGGGATAGACATGCAAGTTTGAATAAAAATTCTTTGACTCGCAAATCTTTGTAACTTCATTCCGATTTAAAGTGATGCTCTTAAGCCGTGGACCTAGAAATCAAGGGCTGGAGGAGGGCTGTTCTGTCTGTTCTGTCTGGCTAAGATCAACGTGCCTGTACCAGGGCAGAGCTGGAGGTGTGGGAGACCCCAAGGAACTCAGAATTCTGAAGGGCTGGGATGAAGAGGCTTTTCCAGGAGTTCCATGGGAGGCTGAGCTAAGGCTCAGCCCATTGTCAGTCAGCTGGCTCTTCAGTTCAGTGACTGGGGCCCTGACGTTGTAGCCGCTCTTATGAGATGTGGAGAACACCTGAAACTAGGACCTGTCTTTAAACTCATCCTTTGACCTTCCTACCCCCGGCTTACAACGGGTTGAGGAGCGCAGGGGTGCAAGATCCGGCCCTCACCTGAAGATGGGGCTGTGCCCCCCAATCCGGGCCTTGGACCAAGCAAGGGGAGAAGGCACTGCCAGGTAGTCCATGCCAGCCGCCTCTTTCCGCAGAGCGCCTGGAGCTCCTGGAGCGGCCACGGCCTCCTCCGCGGCGGAGGGCGGCTTCCCGTTGCACGAGGCAGGCTCCTCCGGCCGCGGCAGGGCCGCCGCCTGCTCGCTGGAAGTCCTCCGGGTTTTCTGAGGGACGCTCTCGGTCGGCGGCGCACCCCCATAGTCAAAGGGGCCCGGGGAGCTGGGGTCCCGGACCAGAGGCAATGGGGGCGGTGGAGGCGGCTCTGGCCCGTCTTCCCCAAGGCTGCCCCGACGGGACAAAGCCGGGGAGGCCGAAGACGGGGTTCCAGAACTGGAATAGCGCCGCTTGCCGCAGGGAGAAGCAGGCCGAGGGGAGGCGGGGACGGGCCCCGGGGCGCTGAGGAGCAGCCAGCCGTCCTCCGGCGCTCGGCCCCCGGCGCTCGGGCCGTAGAGGCTCCACGGGTCGTCCGGGGTCCACGGCCTGGGAGACGCCCTGGGCGAGGGCAGCGGAGAGCTCAAGCCGAAGCGCGAGGCCGCCTCGTTAAGCTCGGACTCCACCTCGTCGCAGGCCGCGTACAGCGCCGCCTCGTCCGAGGCGTCCGAGAAGAAGCTCCACGAGGACAGGCTGCTGCTTCCAGGGCTCGGGCTGAAGAAGGCGCCTCCGCCCTGGCCGCCCGCCTCTCGGTAGCCCCCAAAGCCCTCCGGCGGGGGGTACTCTCTGGGAGAGCCGTCCCCCCAGGGTTCAGGGGCGTCCTCCAGCGAGGTCGGTGGGTCAGGCGTGGGCGAGATGGAGGTGATCCGGATGCTGGGACACTCGAGGACACGGCCGCCCCCGGCACCTCCCGCGCTCCCTCCTGGACCCCCCAGCCTCACCGACCGAGCCGGCTGGCTCTCCCAGGTGCCAGGGGAAGGGGCAGGACGGGGCGGTGGCGAGTGCATGCCTGGCCGAGGGGGCGGCGGTCGGGGAATGCCAATAGGGGCAGCACCATAAGGAAGGGTTTCCCCCAGGCCCAAACGGCAGCACGAAGGGGCATCCTCTGAGTCCAGCTCTGTCAGAACGGGAAGAGGGGTAGAGGGAGGTGGGGAGAGAGAAGCTGGTGAGACGTCTAGGTTCCTGGGACGGTCACCCCCAAAGCCTGACACGCTCATGTAGGAGGAGTCTCCTAGACAAAAGCAAAGTTGAACCTCAGAGGACGGAAACCTCTGACCCCCTGGTCCTGGGACCTAGGGTACCAGAGAAGGTGGGGCTTAAGGTGAGGACGGAGGGCTGCGCTGGGCTGGGGAGTCCTAGAGCCCGGGCCTGGAGGCCTGTTTGCCCGGGCCGGGCTGGGGGCGACTCACACATGAACCCAATTAGCGACGGTTCCCAAACCCCCAAACGGTGCTGGCAGAAACCCCAGTTACCAACGCAACCGTGGCCTGGGGGTGGGAGGGATGGGGGCATGTCTGTGGTGACGAGGGGAGGTGGCTCCTCCCTCGTCCCCCCCAAAAAAGGGGGCGGGGTGCAGCCCAAGGGTGATGCGTGCGGGGCCCAGCCAACCGGGGGGCGGGGGACAGCAGGCAGCGCGATGCCGTGAGAGCGGCGGCCGCCGCCCCCGACTCGATCCCCGCCATCTGCCTCTCATTGCGGCCAGACGTGGGGGGGAGGGCGGGGAGGGGTGCCCCTGCGACGCCCGAGAGAGCCCCCAGCCCCAGGCGTGGCGTCTGCAGAACCAGGCCTAGGTCCCGAAGCCTCAAACTCCCGAGTCAAGTCAAACCTTCCCTCCCCAAGCCGGCGCCCCGAGCTCTTAGGGGCCGAGGTTCCCTCCGCACCCCATCCCAGAGACAGTCAGCCTGGCCAGGAGGCGGTGCGTAGCGAGAGCACCCCCACTCCCACCCCGGGCGCGACCTAAAAAGGAAGAAGCGGCGCCGTGGCCCCCAGCCTCACTTCCGCAGCCTCGGTCGTCCTCGGCTGTCCCTCGGCCGCTGACCCATCTCACCCCCACCCCCGCCTCGAGGCCCCCGCGCTGTCCTCACTCCGATCTCCCAGACCCTTCGGCCGCTGGCCGAAAGACCCCTACCCAGCCCCACACTAACCTTCCCCAGGGCCCCCGGCGCCCAGCGGGGGGGCCTCCTTTTCCTCCCCGAACACCAGCTTAAATTCCAGCTCCTCATCCTCGCAGCTGGCCGCCCCCATGGATCCGGCCGGAGCCCCCAGGTCCCGCCTGGGTTGGGAGGGGGAGGCTCTGGACGCTGCTGGAGCTTCACGCGAGGGTGGCTCCCTCCCTCCCTTTCTCCGAGACGCCTCCTCTTCGGTCGCTGCCGCCTCCCTCCAGACGCCCCCTCGTTATTATAGCAACTTTTCCAAACTTTTTTTCTCCCAAACTTCTTCAAAGCGCCCCCCCCCTCCGGCTAGCCTGTCCCTGATTGGCTATCCGGGATGCTCCGGCCCCTCCTCCAGGGATGAGATGGGAAAACCACGCGCCCCTAGTCTCCCCCACTCTCCCTCCTCCAGTCATCTCTCCAGTCCCACCCCCTCCAAAGGGGGAGAAAAAACTGAATTGAAAAATGGTCCCTTCAAACGTCCTAGGACCCTAATGGTACCTATTGGTCCGCGGCTGTGACAATCATTTCCCACCGGGGGCCCAAACCTCAGCCTATTTAGTCCCAGCTAAGTGGGGGGGGGGGGGGAAGGGGGGAATCCGGGGTCCGACTGCCTTAAAGAGGCCATATTCCGAGTCTCCGCGTAGCGGGCCCACGGTACATCCTTCCTTAAGATCTGCAGAGTATCGGGGCCACCTCTCCTGCGCTTTCGGCCGAGGGCTGAGTTGAAGAGAGTTCTAGGGTTGAGAGAGGCTCTGGGCTGCCCCGAAGAAGTCATCCCTTCCTCCCCCTCGCTGGGACAGCTCCACCTGGGCCTCCGGGACCGGCCACCCCCACCCTCCCCTGAAGACGAAGAACTTTTAGCCCCTTCTAAGCCCGGCGAGCCTCCGGAGGCCCTCAGCCCTGCTGGGCTCCGATCCACGCCAGGCTTTGCCGATTCCCCGGTCCCAGCCACCTAGATAGGCCATTAATTAGCCCCCACGGAGGAAGTCGGCCTCCTCCTCCCGAAAGCTGCAGGCCAGAAGGGCTCTCCGCTCCCGAGGCACCCCGCTCCCGGCCCGTCTAAACTCCTGGCCAGGTTTAGAGAGGGCCAGAAAGCTAAAAACTCAGGCCCCAAGGCCGGACACCTGTCACCTGGGCAGGGAAGGAAGACCCGGCCTGGAGTCACCAGGAAGGAGGCACAGGACAGGGGTCTCAGTGGGGGCGCAAGAGCGGGGCCGGGTTGGCCGGAGGCTGCCGGGGGCGCTGGAGGCCGGAGAGCGGCCGCCGGTCCCCGCGCACGCGCCCCCGCGCCCCACTCCTCCCCGGGAAGCCTCGCTGAGGGCCAGCCCCCCACCCCTCAGGCTCCGGGCCGCGCCCCCGACAGCAGCCAAGCCCCGAAAGGGTTAAGCGGCGGCCCTGGGTCAGACGTTTACAAACACTCGGGAGCCGGGCGGGGACCGCGCCCATTACGCTAATGAGAACCGGGCTCGGGGGGGGGGGGGGGGGGGGGGGCGGCCCGCCGGGCCCCAGCGCCCGGGCGGCGGGGCGGGCCCCTCCCCCGAGCCCGTCCTGGGGTCCCCCCCGGCCCCCGGGGACCCCGGTGACGCGCGGCGCTGCCCCGGCCGCAGGCCCGGGGAGGGGGGGGGCGGGGAGGAGCGGCCTGGCGGGCTGGAGGGAGGAATGTTCCGAGGCCGAGCGGAGGGAGCTGGTTTGATTTTTTTTTTCTTCTCCCCCCTCTCTCCTACGGTTCCTCTCAGGTTACACTCCCGTCCCGCTTCGCCCTGGCTCTAGAGGAGCGCGCGGTCGGGGAGCCCGGGCGCAGCCACCACCCTGCACCTAAGGGGGTGCGGGGCAGAGGTGGGGATCCAGCGGGCCCGCTCCCCCCGCTCGGCGGCACGGGCGGACGCGCACATTCTTTTCAAATGTCATATTTCCTTTGATCCTGGGCAGCGTTTCCCCATGTGTCTGGCTCAGCTTCTGCGCGGCCAACCGCCTCCCCGCCCCGCCCCGCCCCGCTTTGTCTCCCGGCACAGCCTCCCCGCTCGCCCCCGGGGAGGGCAGGCTTCGCCCCGGCTCCCCTCTGCCCCCGGTGACTCAATTTCCCCGCTGCGGTATTGCAAAAGGAAGGGGGCCGGAGACGACAGCTCGGCGCGAGGGAGGCCTGAATGTCAGGGAGACGGGCCGGGGCCGGGCAGACCCTCCCGCCGGCCCCGGCTCGGTGGAGGTCGCGGGCCGGAGCCTAGCTTATGTCGCCCTACACGACTGCCCCCTGGCGACCGCCAAGCGCAGCTGCCCTCCCTCCCTTGGCGGTTTCTCGGGCCACCTCGTCGAGCGCACCCCCCGGAACGGAGCCCGCTCGTGACCCGCTCGTTCTAGAGCAGCGGTTCTCGGCGCGGGGCTCTTACCGACCTTACACAGGGGGCGGCGGGGGCCCGCCTCAGACCATCGGAAATACCAGATATTTACAATACGATTCGTAACACCAGAGAAACTACAGTTCTGAAGTAGCAACGAAGATAGTTTTACGGTTGGGGTTCCCCGCAACAGGAGGAAGAGTGTTAACGGGTCGCAGCGTGAGGAAGGTTGAGAACCCCTGTCTCTTGCAGTGCAGGCTGTCTTGGAACTCCTTATCCTCCTCCTCCCCCTTCTCCAAAGTGCTAGAACTATGAACTCATAAGCCATTCCCAATTTGTGCTCTGTATTCTAATAGGTACTTATGCCACAGACTCGGAGGTGGACCTTAGCTTTTTTTTTTTTTTTAATTCCACAAAATACAGTCTCTTTGTAAATGATCCAGGTCAGACAAGGCATGTGGTTAACTCTGATAGTGCCGTTTTGTAGCCATTTGGTATATCCCTGTACACAAACATCATCTTTTATGTGCGTGACAGCATGGTAAACATACTTTTTCTCCACTTGCTTTTATCCCCTCGGTTAATAAATGGCATCTGGGCCTCATGTCAGGCCCGCAATCTCGGTTCTCAGGAGACTTAAGCAGGAGGATTACCAGTTCAAGGCCAGTCCTGGCTGCATAGCAAGATTTAAAAAAAAGAAAGAAAGAACGTTGTTGTCTATAGATCTTCTGTAAGCACTTGTGCATCTGAAGGCGGCAATCACTCATAGGACCGAAGAGGGCTACATTGGCGGTTCAGGGAGTCATCAGCAAACTTACCAGGCTCTGAACCCTGTGAAGTGCAATGAGGCAACGCTAGAGCCATGAATGCGACAGGGTAACCAGCTTATTTCTGGTTGGATTTCAGGCCTGATCCATGGGAAGAAATAGGCGCTTCGGACTGTAACGCTGACCAAGAATCCGTGGCTGGGGGCTCGCCGCAGTAAACTGACCACACAAGGTCAAACTGCTCTCTAAATCCTGTCTCTGCAGCCCTGGAGCAGCAGAGCTCTCGGACCCGTTAGAGGCCTCTTTGTATACTGGATGGTGGTTACCACAGAAAGCCACAACTGGCCGAAGAGCAGAGAAGTGGCTGCGGGAGCGCTCCACCACAAACAGAACATTTCTATCGCTCCACACTCGAGAACCGTTGAGGAAGATAGGGGAACAAATGTAAGAGCCAGAGGTCAGAGAGGACCCAAGCCAAACAGTGTCTTCTGGGTATTGTAGGACGAGTTCACTCATGAACTCAGAGCGGCCGTGGTTGCCTGCACACAGTCAACCCAACAGTCTAGTATAGAGGGGCTCATGAGCCCCCAGCCCTGACAAAGGGGCTGTTGACGCGTGGTGGTTCCTGGAAGGAGCATCAGTCTCCTTTAGAGGTGTGGCCTCATGCCCATGGTTAGATGGGCAGCACAAACTGGACTCAGAGTATTATTTAAAAAAACAAACAAACAAACAAAAAAACAGAAGATGATTGGATGGGGCTGGAAGACAGACAGTGCAATGGTTACGAGCGCTCGATGTTCTTCCAGAGGGCCCAAGTTTGATTGCCAGCGCCCATGTGATGTCTCACAACTCTGTAACTCCAGC